TTCAATGTTGATAAGCTCCAAAACACAAACACTCGCACCAAAACCAAACGAACGACCAGGTGACCGAACTGTCAGTCCCAGCAAGCCCTAAATGACTTGGGGTCGCTACTGGAACGCTCTAAACGACACACAAAAGGCAAGACACAAAAATGACCAGGAGGGTCATTACAATCTCTTAATTTTTTTGGCTAATTGATTTTTCACTTCTGCTTTGAATTTCAAAAACATGCTTTCAGCCTCATCTGTAGACTTAAGAAGATATACCTTAGTGTATCTAGAAAAGTCATCAACAAAAGTAATGTAATACTTTTTTCCACCTTTGTTAACAATGTTTTTGAAATCTGCTAAATCTGAATGTATTAGTTCAAGCAATTTAGTCTTTCTACTAATAACATATTTGAAAGGTTTCTTGGCGTGCTTTGCTTCTACACACAGTGCATTTAGAAAAGTCATAAGTTTTTATCATAGGAATAAGTTTCATTTTTCTAAATCTGTTAATAGAAGCATTATTAACATGACCTAGTCTACCATGTCACAAATTAATAGACTCAATAATATAAGCAGAATTTGAAATATTTACATTATTGACAATCTCTTGAACAATGATCAGTACAAATAAGCATCCACTAAGATATCACTTCCTAACAAAGTCTTCTCCACGAGAAATAATTATTTCATCGGCTTCAAAAACAAGCTTAAGGCCTACTTTGTTGAGAAATGCTCCGGAAATTAAGTTTCTACGGAGGGAGGGAACATATAAAACATTGTTCAAAGATAAGCTTTATCCAGAAGTTAATTTAAGTAAAAAAATTCCTTTACCCATAACTCCAGCAGAAGTGGAGTTACACATGTAAACAAACTCTCCATCAGTGGACTCCTCAAAGTCATGGAATAAATTTTTATTGGCACAAAAATGCCTTTAAGCGTCTGTGTCTAGCACCCAGTCAGTTTTGTTAGCCACCATATTTGACTCAACGACTACAACAACAATCATTTCATTACCCTCATCAAGATGAGCTTGGACATCACTTTGTCCTTCCTGCTTTGACTCCCTCCCCTTTCTTTGATAGCACTTGGCAACCCTATAAATGACCAAGTTTTCCACAGACAAAACAAGGGCACTTAATTTTTGAATTTGTCTCTCCGTTGATTTTTCTTCTTCATATGTTCCTTTTTCAAGACTTTCTTTTATTTGCCTTTGAACCTGTCTTTCACAACAATATCAAAAGATTCAACAAGATTAGCTTTAGAAGAATTAAGAGAAAGTGTTTCCATCTTATCTTTGAGATGGTTTGCCTCTTCAGTCCTTATATGACTAATAAGTTCTTGGAGAGTTAAATTCTTTATCTTATGTTTCAATTGATTTCTATAAGTTATCTAAGATGACGGAAAATTTTCTAGTAAAACATTAGCCTGAAAATCTCACACATCTTCATGTTCTCGTTGAGTATATCAGCAGTCAGGTTCTCATATTCATGAACTTGTTTCATTATTGGTTTATTATCAACCATTTGAAATTTAATTCACTGACCGACAATATTTTTTCTTTCCTGCATCATCAACACCATATTCCTTTTCCAAACTATCTCATATTTCTTTAGCAGATTTATTGGTAACAAATATCAAATAAAGGATTAGTTATTTCATTTAGAAAATGTCCTCTCATAGTTCTGTTATCCTTTTCAAACTTCTTTTTAGCAACATCATCAACAATCATAACATTGCTAGAATCAATAGAAGTATTAGAACCTTTCATAGAATGTTCGTCAAATAAACCATAATCAACTTCTAATTGTTCAAAGAAAATTAATTTTTTTTGTGACCAACGTTTAAAATTGATTCTATCCACAAAGGCTCAAGTTTTGACAAATCAGAAAAAGTTTTGTTCAAAGAAAGTCATTATCAATATTGTATGTTAGTAAAATCGTTTTCAGATTGTTGGGAAAAAAATACTACAATATTGATATTGGATTGGATTACAAAGTAGTGAATAACTTAGTACAAATACTGTGTCGTGGCAAGCCACTGCCTTGAAAGCGACTTCGGCCCAACTCCGGTGCAAATCATAGTAGCCGGTTGCTCCCCAAGGTTCCACAGTTACTCTCTGTTGAAGTTTGCTTTTAGTTATTGCAGTAGTTTTTAGCAAAATAAGTTATTTAGTTTGAAATAAATTTGAATTTTGAATTTTAGTTATTATGTTTATGTTGTTGAGATATTTTAGGTTTTTTAAATTTCAAATTATGTAGATTATGTATTTCTTGTTGGCTATATAAAGCCCCTCAATGCTTAAGAAAATTTGAAAGCTATTGAAAGTCATTTCAATCCATTGAGATAAATTTTCAATCTTTTTGTGCTTCCCCATTTTTTTTAAAAACACCAACAGTGGTATCAAGAGCTTCATTGATCTTAAGGGATCTGTGAAATCTTACATAGAACTACCATACATTTTTAACTCGTAAGGGCTACCTTTTTAACCCATCAGGGCTACCCATATTAACTCATCAAGTCTACCTTTTCAACCGGTGCTTTTTTTCAACGTACAGGCTTTTCTAAATCATTTTTAACCAAAATAATGGCAAGCAACAGTCTCTCTTTAATTCCCCAAATAGTGAAAACTATCAGATTTGGTCAGTGAAAATGAAATCATATCTTGAAGCCTATGATTTGTGGGAAGTTGTAATGGAAGATGTACCCTTACAACCTCTCCCTGCAAATCCTACCCTTGTTCAAATAAAATCTCATTCGGATGAAAAAATTCAAAGCCAAAACTGTAATTCAAAATTCAGTTGCGAATTCATTTTTTTCTAAAATCATTGCTTGTGAGATGGAAAAAGAAGCTTGGGAAAAATTAAAAAAAGAATATCAAGGAAGTGACTGAGTCAGGCAAATGCAAATTTTGAATTTGAAAAGAGATTTTGAATCTCTTAGGATGCAAGAGGATGAAACTTTGTTAAGTATTCTGACAAGATTTCTTTTATTGTTAATAAAATTAGGTTGCTTGGCAAGGATATCAAAGATGACAGAATAGTAGAAAAAATTCTTGTGACAATTCCAGAGAGATTCGAATCTAAAATTTCATCTCTGGAAGAGTCTAAAGATCTCTCTACAATTTATCTTGAAGAACTAATAAGTGCTCTTCAAGCACAAGAGCAGAGAATAGCATTCAGGCAAGATAATGTTACTGAGGGTGCCTTTTATGCACAAAACAGAAAAGAAAAGGTAATTATCCTCTTTGCAAATACTGCAAAAGAAAAACACACTTGGAAATTTTTTGTTGGTGGAGACCTGATGCAATATGTGGAAATTGCAAACAAGCCGGTCATGTTACAAAAGTATGCAAGCTGAAGAACAATCTTCAAGGACAAGTTGTAGAAGCAAAAATCGACAGGAGCAACTTTTTTAAATTGCAGTATCTAAAACAAAGGAGGAGTGTTGAAGTTTGCTTTTAGTTACTGCAGTAGTTTTTAGCAAAATAAGTTATTTAGTTTGAAATAAATTTGAATTTTGAATTTTAGTTAGTTTGTTTATGTTGTTGAGATATTTTAGGTTGTTTAAATTTTAAATTATGCAGATTATGTATTTCTTGTTGGCTCTATAAAGCCCCTCAACGCTTAAGAAAATTATTTGAAAGCTATTGAAAGTCATTTCAATCCATTGAGAGAAATTTTCAATCTTTTTGTGCTGCCCCATTTAAAAAAAAACACCAACACTCTCAAACACATACACTCTTGGCTGAAAGTTTGGAGGTTGCCCAAAACCAATTGTCCAAAAAATATTTTAAGAATAAAAAGAAAGAAGGAAAATGTTTTCTTTTCTTTTGTTGGTTGTGTATTCATGTTCACAAAAGGCAATGCTTATATAGGATTTGCACAAGAGGAGTTTCAAAGTGAAGAGTTAATTTGTATAATGTATTGTGAATGTTAATAGCATTACAGGCCATTACATCACATTCTACATAAACTCTCCTTTTTGTTTTGGAACGGAAATATTATTCTCTTTGTAACGGAAAGTAGCTTTATTGCTTATTGTATTTACTCAGTCCAATAACTTTATTGCCTTATTGTATTTGCTCATTTCAGTTGGCTATTGATAGGCCTTGTTTAGAGACTGTCAAGTCTCAATAAAATAAGAAGAAAAAATTACCACTGGAACCAGGAACATCTAACATGGCAGAGGTGGCTTCAATGTTGTTTGACATAAAATGGTGTGTAAATAATGGACATAGTGTGATCATGAGAGAAACTGACTCTCTCCTCGTTACCAAATGTATTAGAAGGGAATGGAAAGTGCATTGGCCAATTATAAACATCATCAATGGAATCCAAGAGTTAGTTGAAGAGCATGGATGTGAAATCAATCATTGTTTTCGAGAAGCCAGAGTTAGTTGAAGAGCATGAATGTGAAATCAATCATTGTTTTCAAGAAGTCAATAGACCTGCTGATAAGTTGGCAAGAATGAGCCGTAATTTTGAGTCAATCCATGTTTTCAACTCTCATGACAATCTTCCCAGTCAAGTAAGGGGACTAGTCAATATGGTATTAACTATGATTCTCCATAGGTTTTGTTTATATAGTCACACTTTTGGCTAGGAATAGCTTAGTTAATTCCCCTCAATGATCATGTAAACAGTTTGGTATGCCAAACTCAACTCGTAAGTTTTTTCACATCTTCAATGATCAATGGAGTTTTTGGGGAAAAAAAAAGTAAAAACTATCTCTACATTGTGTAGATATTTTGCCTATTATTATAGGCTGCTTACATATTTTGTAAATTAGATAGCAAATGTATGAGCTCTAAATTATGTTTAGCTTCGATATATGGCTAAATGTTATTATCATTGAAAAGCAAGAGAATGTATCAAACTAACAAAGAAAGCAGAAAAAAATGAAAAGTAAGAAAATGTATCAAACTAACAAACAAAGCGGAAAAATTAAAACTCAGAACCTATTCCTTTTTTATCTATTGTGTTAAAACAATCAATTGACTTGTTTAAGTTGAACTCAATTCCCTTTGCTAGAGAAAGGCATGAATGTCTTGCCACCCATATATGGCCGTAGAACTTGAGGAATCTCAACTCCGTCCTCCCTTTGGTAGTTCTCAAGTATACAACACATAGTCCTCTCTGTCGCGGTAAGGGTGGAGTTCAATAGATGCACATACTTCTTCACTTGATCATTACCCTAAGGAAAAAATCATGTTAAACCAAATAACTGAAACATTGAGAAATGAAGCTGAATTGCACGGTTAACTAACAATTTTAACAAAACTATATATGTACCTTGTGTCCAAATCGAATTTCTAATTTCCTGGACTGATAGTCTGTGCAGTTTGAGCAGGACACAAGCTCTCTATAAGTTGATGATGCAGGGTACCACCCTTCCAAATCGTACTTCTTTGCTGCTGCATCATTGAGTGCGCCAGAAACAACAGCCACAATTTGGTAAGGAAGTTCTAGCTGTGAAAATAAAAAGAGTTGTATATGTCAAGCCAAGTTTGAGATAGTGAGATTAGTCTAATAACAGATAGTAAAAGTGAGTGAGATGAATGTTGTTAATCCATTAGATCTACCTGCTGAAAGAATTCCTCTGAGTTTTTAATCATCTCCTCATGCATGGCCCAGGAGTCATTGTCATTTGGACTAGTCAAACAAAACTGTTCCACTTTCTCAAACTGGTGGACTCTAAAAATTCCAAGTGTATCGCGACCATGAGAACCAGCTTCCTTGCGGAAGCATGAAGAATATCCAGCATACCTGGTGGATGACATAGATTAGTCCATAAAAGCTAACTGGCAATAGAGGATACAATACTGTTGATTGGTTCCGTTACAGTAATAATACCTTAACGGAAGTTGTGAAGGATGAATCCAATCATTCAAATGATAAGCACACAGAGGTTGTTCAGCAGTGGCAATAAGATATTTGTCATCTCCCTCACCACTCACCTATCAATCAAACACATAAGATAAATGAGGTACGTCTTGCCTTCAATAATTTTAAATCAAAAAACATCAAGAATGCATAATTAACGCTCCCTTAAATCGTCGGAGGTTCTATCTTATCCATATGTGTCTATTAACTCCATTTACCAAAATATATCAAAACATATTGAGAGAGATATACCTTGTAAAGTTCTTCATCAAACTGAGCTAATTGAGCACACTTTGCCATAATATCTTTCCTCATGAAGAACGGAGTTTGCAATGGAGTATATCCCCTATTCTCCAAGAAATCAAGAGCAAAATTAATCAACGCTTGATTAAGACGTACACCAGCTCCTTTCAGATAGTAACCTCTTCCTCCAGCGACATTTGCTCCTATATATTTTGCATTAATCTTGCAAGTCATTATATCAACCAACAAATAAATACGAATTGAGCAACAACATTTTCAACAAGGAAAAAATAGAACACTTTAAGGTTAGGCTTTCAAGATCGCTCTCATCCCAAAAACAACCTGTCGTGGTTTCCAGAACTAGTTAGGATATTATTCTAGAATGTCCAGGTAAGGTCATCTAAAATCAGTGAATGGAAAATAAAATGAAACATGAGTCTTATTAATCTAGATTTTTGTAGTATGATTTCTAACACTTCTATTTTATATATCCCACTAGATTAGTTTCAATTTCACAAATTTCTTAAATAGATGGACATTAATGGAAACTCAAATTTCTTCCATTGGGTTCTGGGTTGAATGAAAAGCAAACAAATATTCAGACCACATTCAACCTCAAATTTCTTCCACTGGGTTGAACGAAAAGCAAACAAATTTTCATGTATTGCATTTCCCATCAGAGAAATTTGCGTTGATGTAAATCCAAAGTGAAGACAAAGAATGAACCATCGGCCTTTTGTGATTACCGCTGACTCCTAGTATGTAAAAAAAAATAGAATAGTTGAGTTAATTTGAAGAATTCGGTTTACCCTTTATTATATCTGCCATTCCAAGAGCTTTGACGAGATCAACATGACTCTTAAGACCCTTCTCAGTCCGCTTCTCTCCCCAGAACCGAACTATAGCATTATTTGCCTACAAAAATAATCTTTTCAGAACATGCTGGCATATGTGACTACAAAGCAGCAAAATCGACATATATGCCATACCTCATCATTACTAACTGGGACTGAATCGTGCACAAGGTTACCAATGATTTCCAACTTTGAATACAAAGCAGTTCGTGCCTCTTCTACTTGTGTCTCTTTCTTTTCAATTAATTGCTTCTTCTCTGCAGTGTCTTTAATTTTATGACTCGCATCCGCACCAGACTTTATTAATCAATCGATGATTTAGTTTTCGAGGTCACAAATATTATATTATATATGTAAAAGGAAAACTAAATAAAAGAGTCTCACGTTTTTTAGCTTGCCAACTTCTCTGGTGATCTTTTTGAAATCTTTCCGCAAATTATCAAGCTCAAACTGCCCTGAAATACTCATATGTTTAATTCCTCTGCCAATAACACAAATTTCGAAAGTAAAAAAAGAAGGTCTAAATTTCAAAAGAAAGTTAAATTACGCTGACGCCATTGTTTGTCAAGTTGAATAACTTCATCTACAACGTCGACATTGGCAAATCGACGACGTTGAGATTCACGAATAATTTCCGGATGATTTCTGAAAAGATTTATATCTAACATATTAGCAGAAAGGATTAAAATTTATGTTTATACAAGAGACACAAAATTTTGATTTCCACAATGACTGGACTGCGGAGGGTTTAGGTTTATATTTATAGAAGAAAAACAGAGTATTCCTTTACCTATAATATTAATTAATGGTTTTTAACTTACAAAAGGAAAAAATACGCTATTTTTTACCCCCCTAATTTAACGCAGTATTCCGTGACAATCATTGTCATATGGCTAGAAGGACTGGAACACGCAACCATATAACAACTAATTTTCGCAACCTTAACCATCAGATTTTTATTTTTTTTTTGAATTCCTTAACCATCAGACTAAGAGCTTGTATTGCGGCTAAAATTGCCTATTTCTCAAAACACTTTTTTTAAATGACTTTAAAAAAGTGTTTTTGAAAAAAGTAATTTATGTTTGACTATTTCATTTAAAAAGTGTTTTTGATAAGCAAATCGTGTTTGACTAATCTTTTTTTAAAATTTTTTTTGATAGTCAAATTACGAAAAAGGGTAAGTATCAAATGTACTTTTAATATTAAAGATATTTTATAGATAAAAACTATTTTCAATGTCTATTAAATGTTTTAAAATAAAAATATGCATATTGAAATTTTCAATCAATATTATTCATAAATAAATAGTAATATGATTACCATGATGACTTAAATATAATTCAAAATATCAAGAAAAATAAATTTAAAAATCATTCCACAAATTAGACCACTATATACGAAAAATTCACCACAAAAATAAATAAAGGCATTCATATTTTTAATCCTACAAAAATGTTATTGTTACATTTATTTCGAATTCTCTGAATAAAACGTAAAATAATATATAAATATATAAATAATAATAATGATAGTATATAAACATAAAATAAAATAATTTATTATATAAAAATAAAAAATAAATTCTTAAACTTAACCAAATTTATGAATATGTTAATTAATTAATAAGGGATATATTGGTAAATATGTATATATATGGGAGGGATACGTTAGTATTCAAGAAAATAATTTTCTGCTTCTACTTCTGTTTTTTTTTTAGAAACAGAAATATTTAGTTTCTTCCCAACAACAAAAAAATTGTTTCTGCTTTCATTTAAAAGTAATTTCGAGAATCTTTCAAACACTATTTTTTTCAAAATAGTGCTTTTATCACAGAAAAAACGCTTCTGGCCTCTCAACATTAATGTCAAACAGGCTCTAGGCATAGCATTTAACTTATGTAAAGATGTCTGAATACTTATGGTAAAAGATACTCATGGAATTTTCGACATATATGTATTATAGATTTAAAAGATGCGCTCTCTCTCTCTATATATATATTATTAAACCAAAAATATGGAACTAAATTATGGTGAAAAAATAAAGAATATTATGGTTTTTTGAGAAAAAATGAATAAAAAAAGAAGAATAATAATAAAAAATAATTAGAAAAAAAAGAGAAAGAGAAAAGAAACATAAAAATACACAAATCAAAAAAATAAAGAGAATAAGATTTAAAAAAAAGAGAGAAAAGAAATCAATAAAGGAGGAAAAAAAATGTGGGGGGGGGGGTGGAGAGGGAAAAAAAAGTAAAAAAATAAAAATAAATAAAGAAACGAATAAAGAAATATAGAAAAGGAAGGAAAAATAAAAAGGAGAAAAGAAGTATATAAAATAAAATTTGAGTATGAATTAGATTATGGTATAAAAAGAAAAGAAAAAATAAAATAATTTGAAAAAACAATAAATGAACAACAATTCATAAAAAAAAAAAAAAAACGAGAAAAGAAAAGTAGAGAAAAAATAAACGAATAAATAAACAAATGAGAGAAAAAGTACATAAAATAAATAGTGAGAATAAGTCAGATTATGGGCTACAAAATAAAGAATAAACTAATTCGAAAAAAATTAAATGAACAAAAAAATATAGAAAGAAAAAAAGAAGAAGTAGAGAATAAAAAGCAAAAGAATTACAAAGAAGCTAAATAACTAAAATTACAAGGAAATGGGACATTTTCTGTAATTAATTTGTTTAATAGTTAGAAAGATATGAAAATAAGGATAGCCGCTTATAATAATTTCCCTTTTTTCAATATAGAAATGTTATTTTCCCCTTTTTTTCTAATCAAATCAAAACAAACAAATCTCTCTAACTTTGGGCTATTTGTGTTTTGATTTAACAAATCGTAAAAGCTGTCAATTTTTTCTCAATAAACTCACATACATTGAGCCGTTTTGTTATATTATTTTATTGTTATTTTTTAATCTCGATCTCATGGCAGCGAGTTTTATTCATGTGAATTTTTCTGACTTTACGAAAATTTCTATTCATTTAACATTTCATTTAAGTGAAAAGTATATTTGATCTCTTTTTCAAACATCGTATAGTTGTAAAAAGCCGAAAAAGCCAAAAAACAAAAAAAAAAAACTCAAAAGAACAGACTAAAATTGAAATCGAAAAAATTGACTTTGCGTGGTTTAATTTGATTTTTAGATTTAATAAATCGATATAATTGATTTAGATTTTTTTTTTAATGAGAAAATCAAATCAAACAAACCTATGTACACCTAATGACTACGTGTCTTCTTCCTAGTGTTATCAATTTTGTCTTTTCAGTTCCCTACGTGACTTCCTCCCGTGTTATCAATGTATACATTACTCTGTTTGTATCTTCTTCATTTATGCTCCACCGTCTGTGCACATCAAAGTTCAGTTCTTCTCTTCAGCATTCTACAAGTAAGGCTCTTTCATGTTTCAATTGAGTTTTTTTTTGGTGCTATCTTTCTTTTCATCAAAGTCGAAGTTCCAAATTTGATCTGTGTGTGAATGTTTGCTCAAAACTTTATTGTTGTTCTGACTTGTCCAAGAAAAAAAAGGGATATGATGTTCAAATCCATTCGAGCTCAAACAAGTTGTTGCCTTTCTCATCAAAACCAATAAACCTCTCTCACTACTCCTATTTTCTTGGGTAACTTATACCTTGTTCAATGAACTTAATTCACCTACACTAACATATTCCATAATCAATTACTAATTGAGAACTCATGTCACAAAAGACCAATATAAAGCGCCATAATTTAGAGCTTGTTTGGATTGAATTAAAAGTTCATCAAATCGTTTTTAACTTTTGGGAGAGATTTTCAGCTCTGTTGATCAGCAAGAAGTTGCTATATGGAATAGCTGTTTGAGAAATCTTGTTGAAGGTAGTTCTTTAATTGATGCAATTTTCTTGTACTCAAATGACAATAACCAACCATGATAAAAGCATATAATTGCTTGTTTCAAATCCAGAAACATTTGACTTTCTGATAAAAGAAAGTTAATTTTCTATATTACATAGAAAGCATTACCAGGCAACAACTTGTTTGAGCTCGAATGAATTTGGGGATTTCTGAAGTGCCATTAATGGAGTCTTTGAGTTTTGGAGAGTGAAGTGGAGATGCCAAGCAAATAGACTGCAACATTGCCTTAGCTTTAATGTTAGCTGCTAATAAAGCATAAGCCTATATAGTATGGTACTTTTTTGTTGTTGTTCGGTACTTTCTTCAAAGCAACAACGCCGGAGGCACGACCCGGCCAATTAAGGCCAGGAGGGCATCGCCGACAGAAGGGACGAGTGTATATCCGGGCATAAAAAAGGGACACAATTTTACTATTTTAAGTTTAAGAATTGACAGAAAAAAAAACTAATTAAATGATTAGGGAATAAGTTGACTTAATTCCCTTAGTTGTTTGTTGATTAATTCCTCCATTGATGATGAATTTCATTTTTTTCTAATTAACTTCTTGTAATCATTTATTCCAGGGATATATTAACAATGGTTAAAAGATTAACAAGAGATGTATTAACTAAATTACTTAATTCCCTTAGTTGTTTGTTGATTAATTCCTCCATTGATGATGAATTTCATTTTTTTCTAATTAACTTCTTGTAATCATTTATTCCAGGGATATATTAACAATGGTTAAAAGATTAACAAGAGATGTATTAACTAAATTACACTCCAAATGAATTTTTTTCTTAATGATTATGCAAAATCGTATTTTAAAAAATTGAATCCATCTAATTATGTGTACAAATATACACTATGGATAAATAGATTTTCCATTTATTTACAAAATATATATGCAGTGTATGAATATTTACTTTATATTAATATGCAAAATATATACACAGTGTATAGATATATTTTACTTATTGTTAAGAGGCACTGATAATAAGAAAAAGCATTGCTAAGTAATGAAAAAATAAACAACAACAGAAAGAGAATGATTAATCATTCTCTTATTCGATCCAAATGCAGGACCTTGGTTGAACTAAGTTAAAAATATTTGAACTTGAGTAAACTTTGATGCTAGAGTAATCGAACGAGTAATATTTACGATTGGCCAAACAATAGAAAACACCCTTGTTGTTGTCGTGAAACATTGGGAAATATATCTTGTTTCCTAGCCCCTGTGCAACATAAGTTCTCAAGTACGATCCTCCAAAGCTCACAAACAATATTTTATTATTTTCCAAACTTGTTATTTTTTCCCTTTCCAGCACTTCTCCATTCAATTTGTATATCCAAACCTCTACATCTCCTTCTTCACGACTTAAAAACACAACAAACATTCCTTCATTATCGACATCTTCTATTGTCTATGCCTTTCGAATTGATCTTTGTTTTGAACACGAAAAGTATTTCCCATAAAATTTCCATTTAGGTCTCTGTGCAACTTAGTTTTCCTTGATGCTTAATGTTCCCAAATTACCTTTATCTCCCAGTGCGTAAATAGTATTATTTTTGAAAAACAACGGATTATTGCACCCCGTTGCCTTAAATTTTGCTCGATGATTGAAGAAGTAGTGATACGTCCATTCAGTATCTCCAAGTTTGATGATGTACACATCTGGGACATAACCACCGGTTTCTAAACCAACAATAAAACAATCTGATGATGATGAGTCAGGAGGACACGAAAATGTCCAAGCAGAGCAAGAATTTCCATTCTCATCTAGTAGAT